GTATAACTATCATTTTTTTTATTATGTTAAACTTTTTTATTTATTTTTAAACATAAAGAATATTAAACATACACCTTAGCCAAAACAAAAATTATTATTTTATAATCTCATTAAATTTTTAAATAATTTTTGATTGTACTGCCGACAAGCAGTACCTGACAAATTCTATAGGGGATGTATAACTATCATTTTTTTTATTATGTTAAACTTTTTTATTTATTTTTAAACATAAAGAATATTAAACATACACCTTAGCCAAAACAAAAATTATTATTTTATAATCTCATTAAATTTTTAATTAATTTTTGATTTTACTGCCGACAACCAGTACATGACAAATTCTATAGGTGATGTATAACTATCATTTTTTTTATTATGTTAAACTTTTTTATTTATTTTTAAACATAAAGAATATTAAACATACACCTTAGCCAAAACAAAAATTATTATTTTATAATCTCATTAAATTTTTAATTAATTTTTGATTTTACTGCCGACAACCAGTACATGACAAATTCTATAGGTGATGTATAACTATCATTTTTTTTATTATGTTAAACTTTTTTATTTATTTTTAAACATAAAGAATATTAAACATACACCTTAGCCAAAACAAAAATTATTATTTTATAATCTCATTAAATTTTTAATTAATTTTTGATTTTACTGCCGACAACCAGTACATGACAAATTCTATAGGGGATGTATAACTATCATTTTTTTTATTATGTTAAACTTTTTTATTTATTTCTAAACATAAAGAATATTAAGTATACACCTTAGCTAAAAAAATATAATTATTCTATAATCTCATCAAATTTTTAAATATATTCTGATTTTACTGCCGACAAGCAGTACATGATAAATTATACAGAGTGCATAAAATTATCAATTATTTTATAAGATAAATTATTTTCTTTTTTTGTTAATCATAAAAAAAATTGATTTTCCTTTTTAGATCGAAAATACGTTTATTTTATATCCTCATTAAATTTTTAAATAATTTTTAATTTTACTGCCGACAACCAGTAGATGATAAATTCTATAGGGAATGTATAACTATATATTAATACTCACTAATATTTATTGTTAGTTAATTCTCAAAAAAAATATCAATTATACTTTTTATATCAAAAATATTTTCCAAGCCTAAAAACCAACAATTATACTCCTTAGTTTAAAACATACAATTATTTTATAGTCCGATTTAATTTTCAATGAATTTAGTATTTTACTGCCGCCGAGCAGTACATAATAAATTCTATAGGGAATGTTTAATTAACAGTTTTTTTATTATGTAATTTTTTTTTTAATCATTTTTAAGCTTAAAAAATATTAATCATAGGGAACGTATAAATTTTTTATATTTTTCATTTACTTTCTTTAATTGTTTTATTTATTTTCATTGGTAGATCTTAAAGTAGCGTTCATATTTATATTTAATATGAAAATCTATCAAGCCTATAGGAAGAGTACAAATTCAGTTTTAAAGGACTCCAACAGCCATCTATTATATTTTGTAGCCACTAATCTGTCCCACAATAATTTTGTATTTACCGCTATTCTTTTCAGTTCACCGCATCGGCGCCACACATCAGTTCTCCGGTATGCAGTGGTTCTCAGTTTTTCTTTCATATCTGTCATTTTATTTTTTAGGCAGCAATTCGCCCATCCGTCGATTTGGTGATCGATATTTACCGACTGTTGGGGGATTGTCATCGATTTGTTGGTCGATTGTTTGAGGTCAAAATGCTACCAACCCAACAGCAAAGCTGATACCTTTACCGTGTATCAGCTTTGGTGTTGATGTGATATGCACTTATTTGATGTGATGATGAGTTTTGTATATATCCAAATGACTTGTAGTATAAGTATATGCGAGAAAGTTCGATACTAACGCCGCTCTGGTGGGATGAAATGTAGGTATTGAAGTCTGTTTATCGATTTGAGGTAAGTTTTATCGACAGTCTGATGTCAACTAGTGATCTATGTTATCGACTGGGGGTATCAACAGTCGGTATTATACCGAGTGATGTTCTGTTTTATCGATGTGGGGTAAGAGTTTTTTGAATTTTAACGTTTTTTAACCCCTACTCTCTCGATTACATCATGTTTTCACGTCATCCGACAAGTTTAAACCTGTTTTTTAGCGTCCTCATCGTGAATTCTAACGTTTTTTACCCCCTCTTCTTTCGATTACATCGATACTTACGCCGTTCTGGTGGGATCAAATGGAGGTATTGAAGTTTATTGATCGATTTGAGGTAAGTTTGACGTCAATTGGTGGTCTATGTTATCGACAGTCAGTTTGATACCGAATAGATGTTCTGTTTTATAGACGTGGGGTAAGAGTTTTTATCTGAATTTTAACGTTTTTTAGCCTCTTTCTCTCGATTACATCATGTTTTTTACGTCATCCGACAAGTTTGAACTTGTTTTTTCGCGTCGTCATCGTGAATTTTAACGGTTTTTTAACCCCACCTCTCTCGATTACGTCATGTTTTTACGTCATCTGACAAGTGTAAACCTGTTTTTGGTGTTGTCATCGTCGTTGGGAGGGGATCGTTGGTGGGGAGTTATACTTACTTGCCTCCAAATTTCAGTCTTCTGCCTGCAGTTACTTCAATCAGTCGTTCAGTTTAAAAAAACTTGTGTCTTTTGTTCAAATATTTAAAATTGTGTACTCTAGGGAAAATCAAGTGTCATTTATTTCATTATTCTATTTTATAACTAATTTCTATAATTATTAACTATTATCTATCAATTTCTTAGCTTAAAAATTCTAAAATTAAATTTTTTTTGTCTAGCTTGTGTGATACCATGGCGGAAATTTTAGACATAAAAAATCGATTATTTTTGATGAATCTATTGCACACTGTGAAGCGCATTCACACATGCCATACGCATCATCAACATTCAACAACAGTGATGAAATCAGGATTGCTGTTTAGCATCAAGATCTGTGCTTGCTCCCAAGCAAGAGTCCATTACATTTTTATGGAAGAATGAGTAAAGATAATGGTACTGCTGTAAGTGCTACTACAAAGATGGTCAACATGGCTGTCTGTCATATGTTTAGAGAGATACGTTATAATCTCAATGATGTAGAAATTGACAGATGTAAGAATGTAGGTATTACGTGTTATGAAAGTATATGCTTCTCTGAGTCCAGGACAGCAAAATATTCTGGAAAATATTGGTTGG